TTTTTTTATTTTGTGAGTTTGATACCTGTCCTCAGCAAACAAATATTCACCTCACAGTGGGAAAGTTTAAAAGCTTTTTTCTTGAGAGAGTATTTCAAGATTGAAATCACAAGAAAAACCTCACAGAGAGCCCACTCACTCTATTGTAAAATCAGCCAATAATTGAGCTGTTAGTTAATAAAGAAGGATTTATCGGAGCTTCAAAACTACAAATGTATTGTAACGGACCCTGGACACGGCGAGTATACCCCAGCGTTGTAGAATAAGTGTCAGGGCAGCAAAAATGCTTCGTTACAATTGCCGCCCGAGCAGGGACCCTTGGCAAATCATATACGTGCAAAAGAAAATTTAATTTTGAACAAAGAACGCGAGTAAAATGGCGGAGCTAGTCAGCACAACGTGGCTGGATAATACACCAAAGGAACAACTAGTGTCCATTGCACAGGAATTGGGGATCGAGCGTGTGGTTACCGCCCGAGAAATACGCAAGAGGATAACGGCTCTGACGTCCAAGGCGCCCAACGACCTGGAGATTCTCGCTAATTTCCTGTCGATCGATATCACGAATAAAGACAGTGAGGGCACCTAGAAGGACGAGGAGGAGCGAAAGACACCAGTACCACCGAATGAACCTGAGGAGAGTACGAATACTTTTATAGAAAACTCAACACAGAGCCAGTTGGCGGTACCACTACAGCAGCACCAGACACCAACGCACCAACTTCCAACGACAAATCCTGGAAACCAAGCGCCGACCCACACGTTGATGTACGCCAGTACCTTGGGATAGCCTTCTGGGGCCTGTAACACAAGCCCTACAAGTCCTACAAGTGTTCAAATAAATTAAACAAGTTTAGATATTTTGTACCACAAAGCAACTTGTAGTTACAAGTGGCGCACTTGTAATTACTGAACTTTTAAAATTGAGTTACCGCGTACCAAGCTCGGTGGGAAGAACTCTATTACAAATTTGATTGCTCAGATTTGAAAAATCAGTACAAATCAGTACAAATTTAAAAAACTCAGGACATTAGCGTGCTGATTGAAGGAATGAATAAAATCAGTACGAAAGTTGAAAAATCAGTACTGTACTGATAAAATCAGTACGTCAGGCAACCGTAAGTGCGACTCACCGACGCGACCAGAGTGCGACTCATTGACGTTGTAAGCACTATTCACCGGCGCGACCAGAATGCGACTCACCGACGTTGCCAGAGCGCCAACCATGCGTGAACAGAGCGCCACTTACCAACGGCATCAGCGCGATCAGAGTGCCGCTTGTCAACTACGTCAGAGCACCTCTCTCCGCTGTCACCAGAACGTCACACACCGACGAACCCAGAGCGCCTCTTACCGGCATTAGCAACGCGCCACTCATCGGCGCTAGCAGAGCGCTGCCCACCAAAACTAAAGCCACGCCACCACTACATAACGGGCCGGTAACGGAACACGGAGCCGATACCCAGCCACTGGAAGCGACACTACCGGAATTTATCGTTGTAATTTTTATTATATGTTCTTTGTAGAAAGTAAGAGATTTACAGCCGTATTATAACGAGATCACAAAATTCACCCCAGTCACAACTGAGAGTCTTTTCACAATTGGCGTATCTTCGTATCCTTACAAAAGCTCATAAGCTCAAACCATCACATTTGACAGAAAAATTGTGAGCATCAAAGCATCAGGTCACAAATTAAAAAACTGTTAATATAAACGAAACGAAATTTTTTGGATTTCATTTTTGCTCTTTTTAAACATTTACATTTGAAAATGGTGCATGTGTAGGGACTTTCCGATACCATCAAAGTATCGATACCTACTCAAATGAGTTTACTCAAATCGCTATTTCGATACTACTTATATGAGTCAACCGAATGTATCGATACCTACTTATATCGATAACTTTTCATCCTTTTACATGCAACAAAGCGAAATTATTTTTCATACGTTATCTGTGACATACCTTGAGCGGCACCTGAGTGGCAGATCGACCTATCTCGGCAGAGAGTTCGAAATTTTCAATATGTTTTCAGTTGAGGTATCAATATGTATATTTCTTCATTAGTAGCACTAGAAGTAATACGATTACTTAGACAAAAAATTCAACCTTTGAAAGGTTCCCACAAAACTTTACGGCTACAATGCATTGCTTGCACTTTATTGTGGTATCACTAGCTTTGTAAAATTATATCCACACTTTACTGGCCGTCTCCACAGGATAAAATTGATTGCTGTCCAGCTGTAATTTTGGTCACTAGATATAAGTTATATCAGTGGCAATATTTGTGTAGGCTTTTTATATCTTGATATAAGCATTTGTAAGAAACACATTTTTGCCGGATTTAATCACTTATAAAATTTAAAAAAATATATTATTTTACACCCAAGTACATAATAACAAATATTTTGACAGAAAACAGCTCAATTTTTGCTTTTATATTAAAATATCAATAATGTTGCCGACACGAAGTTTTCGTGCAAATGAAAATGTAGCTGTCAAACTACCAAATTGCCGGCAATATATGGCAAGATATAAGCTCTGATATATATTGCTCTTGAAGAGCAATGAGCGGTCTCCATTGGCTATTTATGATCTAACATATGTATCAAGATATAAACTTTATCCTGTGGAGACGGGCAGTTAGATTTTGGCGGTGTCATTGCTTAAAGAAATTATTTTTCATAAAAACGAAGCAATTATTTTCCATAGAACAAATATTGTCGACAAGATGGCACCTGCTCAAATCGATTCGATACAAGTACTTTTCTTTCGATAACAAGTAGGTATCGATAAAACGATTCGAGTAAAAAAAGTAGTTGGTATTGAAACAAAAGTATCAAGTACATACTCGTATTTACTTGTATCGGAACATCCCTATGCATGTGTGCGCTGCTATTTTAGCAAAACGAACGTAGAAGAATTTTGAGAGTGTTGCGCAATGATAGCGATCCGTTTGCTATTCCAGAGGCGGTCTTCATAAGAAACTTTCGCTTTCCCAAAAATCTCTGCCAGGATCTGATACTTGAATTGGAACCGCTTGATACTCAAAAGTCCACCATTCCGTTCACTCTTCGTTTCCTCGCGTCTATATATCTTTTTGCACACGGTTCATATCAAAAATGTGTTGGAAACAATTATACAACAACATCTCGATCCCTGCATCACATTTCCAAACTAATTACTGCAGCAAAAAGGGACGAGATAAAATTTCCACAAAATGAATAAGAAAAAACATGTTACAAATTAGGATAAGGCAAATGGTAATTAAGCAAGTGCCGTGTATCCCTAAAGCCATCGTATAGACAATTTTTCGAAGTGTTTGCAAAGTTACTACTACTATTTTTTTTTTATAATCTTTTACAAAAATGTAGTTTATAATACAACAAAAAATAAAACTTCTAAACCTTGTGCAAAACTAAGGAACATCATTCAATAAATTTGCATACAATTTGCAACTATTCAACTAGATTTTCTAGAAGAATTTTGTGTATGCAGTTTTGTAGTCCATCAAATTTTATAGTAACAAAATGCAAATTTAAAGTTGCTAAAAAATCGCGTCCATTTTTGCAATTTTTTTGTTGACAGTGTCACGCAGTTTTTCCATATAAATTATGTTCGAAAATTTCTTTGTAATTGGCAAAAATCAAAGCGGTTTTTTAGCAAATTGAAACTTGCACTTTACTATTACTATAACTTAATGAGTTACAAATATGCATACTAAAAAATCGAATTTAAAGTTGTAAATTTGTATGTAAATATACTGAATTTTTATTAGTTTCGCACAAAGTTTTAAAATTTTATTTTTATGCTTTTTGTTCTATTATAAACTATATTTTTATATAAAACATTATGACATTATTTATATTGTAGGTTTTATCAAGCATTTGAAATTAAAGGTACAATTGGGGCTATTGACTGCACTCACATTAGCATAATTTTACCTTTTTCAAGGGACAGCAGAAATCCTACATCACTTTACATGAACAGAAAAGGATATTACAGCATAGATGTCGAAGCAGTGTATATGTGAATCTACGGTACGTTAAATACTAACATAAAACTCTTTCCCTTTTTAGGTGTGCAACCATCGTTTGATTTTTACATCTGTAAACGCTATGTTTCCAGGATCCTGCCACGATTCGGGGATATGGAAAACTTCGCAGGTAAGAACTCATTTGATGAGTCAACATAACAGTCAACGCGATACATGGCAGCGGGCATAATTTATGCGTGTACTGTATTTCATAATATCCTGATCAAATATGGCATAGACACTGATGTTGATGAAGATGGCGCCGATAATGGTTTCTCAAATAGTCGTGATAGAATCGCAGAGAATATTAACTTAACAGAAGAAGCAAGAATAAGATGAAGATATATATTATCGTTATAATTAAAAAAATTTCAAATCCGACTTATGTATTCATATCTGCAAATGTAAAGTTTACAGCCAAAACATAAAAAATCGTTCTTTCTACATCTTTAAATTAATGATTTTATTTTAGAGAAATTAGTAACAACTAAACAAGTATAATTCTAAAACGTATACATAAGTTAGCGGAATTGTTTTTACGTTTACATGTTATTCAATTTTTCACAAAACTTGTCTACGGTTTCTGTTAATTTTGTAATTGCTACAGTCAATGCCCCCTGCTGAGCAATTTCAAGCTCATCCCGCTATTGACGTACTCTCATGTCTTCCAGAGCAACATTATACACCGCCTCCAATGTTATTTTTCGTGAAGTTGCGAGCAGAGATATCGGATTGAGGTGGGTATGCGGTCCTGAGAACAAATTTGAATTCTCATTAGATATGTTTGGAAAGTGGTATCATAATCACATCAGAGGAAAATTCAATGTAGTTCTCAGCGCCACTAACCACCACCACATCTTGCAAACATGAGCTTTCCTAATTTAAATAAATCAAGAAAGTAAATAATCAATACAGCGTGCAAATATGAAAATTTTAATCACCTCAAAACCCATATTCACGAGTTCAGGCAATCCATCCACTACTGCTGTACCAAATGTTTCAATTGCCTGATGTTCAAACTCCATTATATCGGGGGTTCGGGGCCCCCCCCAGTGCTTTGCAATTAGGCTTTTGCTTTGTGAGCACGAGAGCGAATCTGGCACTTCCAGTGTGATAAACTCTGAAATGAATAAAATATTTTATTAAAACCGTACCATCTTTTCTTGAATAATAACGCCATAAATTGGTTCCCATAACTAAAACAAATCAACATGTTTCTCATTTCGCAATGCGTTCAATGAATAACAGTTATTAACGATCCAAAAATTGGCGGTGTCCATTGTTATTTTATGAATATATATTTGACTTGCCTGCCGGCACAAGTATTTATTCGCTCGTATTTTGCATTTACGTGCGTATCCTATAGTTTCCTCTTTCCACTTCGACGCTGCCCTTGTTGGTCCTCTCATCGCGTTCAGGTGCTCCGCCAGTTTCTGAAACAAGTTCTGCACAGCGCGCAGTGAATGTGGCTTATTTTCCCTGGTTGCAGTTCGGGATGCTGCTTGCAGAAACTTACAAAATATTGAAGCTGCTCT